GAGAGATCGATTAAGCGAGTTCACCTTTTACAGTAGATATAGCATTTTCCTTCAGGTCAGTCCTATATTTATAATGTTTGAATGTCAGCTGCAATGTCTTGTGACCTTTTAACAGTGAATGGGTTTTCCCTACTGAGTACTGACTAAGACTCTTACTTCCCGTCGTGTCTAACAACTCCCTTCAGCCGTGACTTATTCACAATACAGCACAGCCTCTCGTACCTTATTGCTTAAATATATACATTTTATCCACCAATTCTTATTATATTCATGGATTTGTGTTGTATTCAAATGTTTTATTTGTATATAAATGTATATATACTTTTTATTCGCGTTCAGTTATCAAAATTGTGCCGTAAAATGTGCTTAGTTTATATATACACAAGCAAGATTCATGTTTCAATTTGATGAAGAAATACAAATGCTATTCATTGAAGTATATTTATGTTGTCTTTATTTTTTATAGCCTTGTCAGACTTTGTACCAGGTCTTCCATGATGCTATCACCAGGTTAATTCAGTATGGTGTGCTTACTGTAGCCGAGGTGAGCTTTGTCAACTCTTATTGCTTATTTATCTTTTCTTTTTTTATTTAAAGCTACAGTACTTAATGGAAAAATGCCATTACAGACCATATAATGTTTGAATGATGCTGTGAGATTTCTGTAATTTTTTTGATATTGGCTATTCTAGTTACCAATTCATTATTGACTTTATCAATCAGTGAAAGAACATGTACTAACTAGGTTTTCATTTTTGGGAGTCAATCATTAATTAACAATAAAAATGAATAATTCAGCAATTGACTGGAATTTGTGTTTGTGTTCAGGAGGATCAGGAGGAGTTGAGCCCGTCTGAGGAGCCTTGGCCCAAGAAGTTTCCAGAGGCTCTTTCTTGGCGAAGTGATGAAGAAGATGAAGACAGTGACTTTGGAGATGAACAGAGAGACCGTTACCTGAAGGTCCGTATAACACATTGTTAGAAATAACACCCAGAATAAAAAGAGTGAAATGAAAGTTAAAGAACAAGTTCGCTATTTTACAATTAAAGCCCTGTTTTGAGATTGTTTCTGATGAAATAGAATGGTTAAGATAGGTTTTGAGACAGATGCTGCTGTCCTGAGAATTTTCGAATTCTGTGGTAGCTCCCTCACACCTCTACAATGGTAGCATAGGTGCACAGGAACAATCCTTAATAAAACACACAAAACTTTAGTTTACAAAGACGTGAAACTCACCGAGTTGGTGTGGTCTGGGATATGTTCACACAAAAATCGCTGCAAAAGATGCTTTCCAACAAGTTTTATCATAGTTTGTGTACAACTCCATTGACTTGTATTGTATGTTCTGTGATGTACGGTATTACTCCGCCGCCGGAAACAGAAATGGGGTTGTTTGTATTCTTTCTGTAGTCTTATGCAGTCGCGGTGTCGTAGGCTACACAATATAAGTAGTTTGAGATGCATTATCGCCACCTACTGGTCTGGAGTGTCTATTATTCAAGCTCTCAAAGGAAGAATGTACAGTTGTGAGGTGTTTGGAAAAATAGGTCTACAGTTTTACAACCGTACATTCTTCCGTTGAGAGCTTGAATAATAGACACTCCAGCCCAGTTGGTGGCGATAATGCAACTTTGCCAATTGCAAGCAAACCACTTGTATAGTGTAGCCCACGATACCACGACACTGACACAGGCCGTTACACTGGTTAAAAGAGCTTATTTCTCTGGATTTAAACATAGTAAATATTTGAGATTTAATATCAGTGCTCAAGTCAACAAAATAACACTGTTCTTGTGTTTTTTTTGTTGTTGTTTTTTTTGGATATTTGAATCCAATAATCTTGCATATTGTGCCTTTAAGACAAATAGAACAAGCTTGCTTTATTTATTATTTCAAGATTTATTTAGCCTATTTCAGCAAAGAATGAGATCATTCTTTACATTGAAGATACAAAAGTAAACAATTTTTTTTAAATACCTGAAATAAAGACCACTTTCATAAATCTTCATTATGAAAGTGGTCTTTATTTCAGGTATTTAAAAAATTTCCCCTGTAGAACAGTGCACCACTATATATATACTTTTAAAACCCCCTCATTAAAATTTTTAAAAGAAAAATATGCCATTACATATTATTAAACCCCAGTGTGCTTTATGTGTTTATTTTAGGTGAGCCCATCAGCTGAGCACCAGGAATTTTATACTTTTCTGCAGAGGATTCTCACTCCAGTGCTGGAGGCCTACAGTTGTGCAGCGATCTTTGTACACAATCTGAGTTCGCCCATGTCGGAGAGAGAGTACACATATCAGCTCTTCAAGTATCTACTAACGCGCACCGAGAGAGGAGTGGCTGCATATGGTAAGCCATTTTCAGTTTGAATCTGCTCTACATAAGTTTGTTTCTCCACTACCACCATAGAGGAAAGACATTTCCCCCCTTAAATCTTTCCCTTTCCCTTTTACAAATGCTATTTTTAAAACATTTTCTCGCCATTCTATTTTTTCCATCATATTTCCAATCTGATTGTTTGTTAAGCTCTTTGACCTAGAATCTTGAATGAAGTGTGCTCTATTAAATGAATATATGTGATGCAATCTGGGGAAAACCCACCACATGGTGAAATTTGACATATTACAGGTTTTGAGATTTGAGATTTTGAGATTACAGCTGGGTTCAAGCCCTTTCCAAATCTGTTTTTTATTTCTTTTATCGTTTGTCTGTAACAAAAGTTGTGGTTATCTGAAGTCGGCTGATCGCTATGATTTTTAGAAACGGAATTTTGAGAAAAACGGTCACTTCCTGCTAGCGGGACGACTGGCGCTCTTTTTCTATTGCCTTTTTTTTTTTTTCATATCACATATTTTAGTAATCATCATAGATTAGGTATCATTCGAAAGCTTACAAACTCAAAATTCATCCTGTGAAAACTGTTTTGAAATTGTCCGATTGACAGGCGAGCAAGTCTTTTAAGCTAACAGCTTCAAACTCTGTTGTTCTCTTGTGCTCTTTTCCCAAGATATATTCAGACATGATGTTATAGAAAAATTATTTATTTAAAACCCAATTTTGACAAAAAAAAATCTGTTTTTAGACCTTACTGAAAACACACCAGAGCATCATCCGATGGGTTTTCCTAGATCGCATCACTTATTAATATTGATGACATTAATGGGAATGTATTTATTTGTTTGTTTTTATGTTTTTAGGAGAGAGTGCCACACACTGCCTCGTAAAGAACACCGTGAGAACGTTTAAAGAGCTGGGGGTGAGAGAGCCGTCCTCTAGCATTTACTGCTTACTCGCAGATCTAAACCACTGACATTCAAAATTGGACAAAATTGGTTGAAAAAAAAAATGCAAAAGTTGCATGAATTACCTTTATCATATTTTTTGCTTTTTGAAGAGTAACAAAATACCTTATTAAATCTTTTGTGTTCCATGGATAAAAAAAAAAAAAAGTGAGGGTCAGTAAACTAATCACCCTTTAATGTTGCTCTTGCAAAGTAATACTGGATTTAAATATATTAATTTATCTTTAAATATTTTAAAAGCCATTTTCTGTATTAAAAATGTTGTGAATATAGGTCTGTTTTGCAAAACAATAGCCGCAATTACCAGGAACTATTTGTCCCAGGAACTTTTTTTTGCCCCAGACTGGGGCCTTCAATATTCCTTCAACATTCTTTCATTTTTCCTCAGTTTTTTCTTTACTTTAATTAACAAAACAATTTTTTAACAAAAGTGACTATTAAATCAAACAAAATTAAAAAGTTTTGTTATTCATTGTTTCATATAGTTATTAAAATGTTTTTTTTTGAATTGAAATAAAGCTGAAATAAAATAATATTCAATGAAAATAATTTAAATCTAAAATTTAAATGATTAAAACTAAATCAAGCTAAAAAGAAATATATAAATGCCAAAGACAAATTCATTTACTAAAGCTTTAGTTAAAACTGAAAATATAAAAAGTAAGCTAATTCAGAATATTAACAAATACTACAACAGTTTATAAGGAATGTTAAAATAACACTCGCAGCATTTAAAATGATTGACTTAATTACGATTGACTCTTTTTTTCTGTAAAAAGAAATGTAACACAATTTCTGACTTCAAGTTGAATTTTTAAACAGTACATTTATCAGTTATCAGCTATAACATAAAATAACATTGGTGTATCTCCAAAAGACAGAAATGCGAGAATGGAAGACAGAAAGAAAGAGAATGAACGAGAACCAATGGTCTAGTTATTTAAAACAAGAAAATAAATTGAATGTGCATGTCCTATTCTTTTCCTGTCCTATTCCCCCTCCCCCCATCTGAAGTACGTCCTGTGCAGTCTGAAGTGCTTCCTTTGCAAGTTGTGAAATAATCGTGCTATTTGTGATTCACAGGTGCTTAAAGAAAGACGAGAAGGTGGTGTGTGCAGTCTGGAGCTGAGCAGTTCTTTCTTACCTCAGGCCAACAGGAACAAACTCCTGCAGTACATTCTGGGTTTCAGTCTGCTGTGACATCAACGCAGCTGTGCTGCTCTCCACCCCACTCAAGGGCTTTTTACTGGCTAATCATGACTGTCAAAGGTGCTACTCTAAGGAAAGCTTTACCTGGAAGTGCCTTCACCAAACGCCTCATTCTAGACTTATAAGTTAGTCTTCCCTTCACTATAAACCACTTATGCAGTCTTCAATACACTAGTAGTTCTGTCAGCCCTCTCGTTTCCTAGAAGCTTCCACACACACATACACACAATATTGTATCAGTTCTGCCAGTGAAAGCCCTTGTTTTAGAGCTAAATCAGGGGTCTTTATAGCTCTGAATGTTAGAGGGTTAATTCACCCAAAAATGTGAATTCTGTCCGTTATTACTCACCTTCATGTTGTCCCAACCCCGTAAGACTTTAGTTCATCTTTGGAACACAAATTAAGATATTTTTCTTGAGTGAGCTCTCAGATTTAATCAAAAATATCTTAATTTGTGTTTCGAAGATGAACTAAAGTCTTAGGGGGGTTGGAACAACATAAGGGTGAGCAATTACTGACAGAATTTACATTTTTGGGTGAACTAACCCTTTAATATGGGCTCAGACAGTTTGGCTTTAGTTTTTAACTTCCATCATGAATGTCACCTTTAGTTTTAGCAAACTTTCATCATCGGGATGACAGCTAGTGTATGGAAATCTTTTTTTTTTTAAAAAAGGGCATTAATTTTTTCTTTTTAACTACTTGTTCTGTCAGAGCATGTAAAGAAATTGACATTCTCTGTACATTTATCACGTGGCAGAGAACAGAAGATCTATGTATATTATTTGTTAATAGCAGCCACGTGAAAAGGAAATAGTGACTCATTCTGCAAATCGTGCAGCAAATTGAGAAATGTGAGCCATGAAATCATGTTGGTTAGGTCATGTTTACTCACGATTGGATGTCAATGAGTTTAGTTACAGCTATAATATTGTCTAATCCAACAAACATGTAATGGTTTTAGCAGGCCTGGAGGATCTTGAGGCCATCACCTAGGTGGGGAACGTTACTGGAAACAGAGCTTGAATGCTTCTGCTTGGCTGACCTTCACAAGATCGAATTTGTAATATTAGGAGGAGGCTGCCAAGAATTTTTATTTCCCTCCTCAGTTACTGGTATATTTTATTTTGGAGTTAAGATCCTTGGCAGCAAGTCTACTGTAGCATGTGTGCAATATGTCTGTAGTATGTGTTAATTAAACTGTATTTATGCCACAAATCTGTCTCAAAGCACAAAATAACCAGAATTCAGATAAAGGCATGTTGCCTTAATAACCACTTACTCAAAAAGTGCAATATTTTGTTGGCTGTAGTATGAATCAAAAGGTAAATGTTGTGGATACCCTGTACGGTCCCAAAACTACAATTGTAATAGTCTTTATTAGCTGTTGTTTCGAAATATGATCGCATGCTTGTTTTGACAAGAAAACTTCTTTGTGCGTCAGCCTGTAGATGTTGCTACGCGATGGACCTGTTTTTACTGTGAAAGAATGTAGTTGGCAGACATACACGCATTACGTAGACTACTGGGAAATATGGAAGTATCAAAGTATTTCAAGGCTGTGAGTTCCTCCTGGGCTAGGAAAGTCATGGAATTTTATATCATCAGCGCATATAAATTCATTAAATTAAATCTAAATGGTCAGTTGTAACATGTAAAAATCGTAAATAATAGAATAAAGAAGCTGTGTCATGTGAGAACTGCTCAAACTGCTGAATATATAATGGGTTTGAAGCAATATTGAAAATGTTTTTGAGATAATTGAATAAAAGCTGTGAAGGTTACTTACATTTTAAAATGAAAAAGCAATTTTTTTTTATTATACACAGGGCATTTTGGGTCAAAATAGTTGCTGTCTGTCGACATGGCCTCAAATGTTAAGGTTAAAATGGCAAAACAATGGCTCCTTTGAATAGAATGATAGCTTACTTATTAAATATTGTGCAGTATATACTGGATACTACCTGTTAATCATTTGGATTTATTCCACATTTTAAAACTAACCATCAGATTGCATAATAAATTAAAAAGATATTTTATATTTTTAATTCTTGTGAAGGCGGTCTAATCCAATAAATCCAGAAATGTTAAAAAATCCCAGCTGATATTATTTACCATTGATTTAAAATGCATTGTAAATGCAGTGCTCAACGCCATAAGCTCTCCTATATGATGCTCAATAGGTCATCTGGCTATTCTATGCATACTATAGTGCTGCAATAGTATAGGCCTGACTGTAGTAGTAGGACTAACAGTGCTATTCTGAATATAGCCAATGTTTTTGAGTCAAGGGAGGCAGAATAGATCAAGTATGTGATTCCTAACTCTTCTCTACAGTGTTTGAATGTGTTCAATAAGCACTGAAGATTGTATTTTTGACTATAAACAGCCACATGCATCAATCTCTCCCAGACAGCAATAAGACATTTATCATATGTACCCCACTGTCTATTAACGCTGTTGTCATATTACTTCGTCTCAACCCAACTGGATTGTTGGTAATTGCTTAATTTATTATGAGATCCCATTTGTGCTGTGAACAATATAGATTTGAGGTGTTATTTTAAACCAGTCCCGGTCTGATATCAAATAATGTGTATGTTTTCCTCCACATTTTTAAATCCGCTTTGTATATAATTTAGTTTCTATCCCACAGTTGTCTTGTGAGATGATGAGTTTACTAAATCAAACTCTGTTTGGTTGTCTTTTGGTTAACCTCTGGCAATTCTTAACAAAACGCTGTAAATCTGCAGACAGAATGCTGTTTATGAATGCCTTTTTGCTGTTCAACCGTTTTGTAATTTGGCATGTTTTCTGAGTGATGTGTCATTTAGTGCAAGGTTTCCCAAACCGAGGTTTATGAGTTGTCAAAAAGCTAATGAAATCATGTAAATGTAAAAAAAAAAGAAAAAAAGAAAAAGAAATAATTGAAAAATAAGAACAGAATTTAAAAGAAAGAAAAAAGAGAAAATGTTTGGGAATCCATGTTTTAGTGCAAAATGTTGGAGGGGAACAATAACATTGAGGTCATTCTCGTTTTTCTGTGAAGCATTTTCATGCACTATGCACTATGAAATAAATGAATGTTAACAAATAGTGAACTTAATTTTCTATGTCTGTTACTTTGGATGATTTAATGCACAGACTTCACCATATAAATGATGCGATCACACAATACTGTGCGGTGTCGATGCCATTGTTTTTCTTAACATCTGACAGACATTTTTATTTGTTGTAAATAAATAAATAAAACAGGTTTTAGTCATTTTCCCCGTTCCACTCCATCTCCCGCATAGTTGAGTCAGTGCGCTTCAAAGTATACTTTTTTGTCCGCGAGTGCGGAAATAAATACGCGTTCGGTCTAGTGAACTTTATTTCTAATTCTAAGTGCCCAATGTAACGTCTGTCAGATCGTTTGAAGTCACATACGCTGTTCTGACTAGCACATTGTCCTCGCGTAAAAAACGAACTGCACGCGGACCCTCCTGATAACGAAAATGACATCACGCGGATCTACGTGGAACGTAGATGGACACAATATACTTTGGTATTTATTGTCATATTCTTTTTCCAAAACTACAAGATCCAAAAGAATACCATTTATATAGTCCTCATATTCTCATACTTCAATTATTGTCATTATTATCCACACAGTATCGCTCTTTTCTCAATATTATTGGGGGAGGAAAAGGTTTTAACCAGCTGCATTGATATGCTGGATTTAGTGGTCTCGTTGGCTATCAAACTGACAAGCTGGTAAACTGCTAAAAAAAAAAAAATCTCTAAACCAGCCAGGACACCATCTAACTAGCTAGGCTAACTAGACTAGACTTCCAATTTCGTTTCCAGCAATGAATATAACATGTAGCCTAACGTTCAACGTTAGACTTCTTTATATAAAAGGGAGGATATTAAGGCGAGATAGGCGAGAACTCTGCCCCCCACGATAACAACAAGGAGATAAGGAGACCACTAAAGAACCCGCAGAGAGAACATCCACAAGCAGAGGTCTGAGTGTTTTGCCAAATAAAACTGACAAATTCTGCCAAATAACCTATATACTATCACGAAAATACGACTTTTGGTGTGAGTAAGTGAAAATGCCCAGACTGACTGGCTGGTAAACCCCTAAAAACCCTCTAAATTCAGCAAGGCTAGCCGCTAGGAGACCAGCTAAGACATGCAAGCTAAGCTTCTTCTTTTTACACCAGCAATGAATATAAACATGTAGACTTCTTTGAATAAAAGGGAGGGCATTAAGGAGAGATAGATGAGACCTGCATGCCCACGACAACAATAATTTAGAGACCACTAAAGGACCTTGTAGAGAGCACATCCACAATGAAGAACCAAAGCAGAGGTCTGAGTGTTATTCTGCCAAATAGCACGAAACTAAAAATGACTGTTGGGGTGAGTGTGTAAAAATGTTGTCATACTTTAAGCTTTTTCCATTAAAACTGCACTTTGTCTTTATAATGAACAGTAATTCAGATTTTAGTCATTCAAGTTACAGGCCTGCTTAAAAAACGGCCTAAACGGTCTTTCTGGTGAATTTATGCTATAGCCTATATGTCTTATTTTTTGCATGTCTGTATTACAGCTTAAGGATAGAGGGCAAGACGTGTTTAACCAGGTGTCAGAGCTACTCATGGTCTCAGACCTTCATCTCTTTGGTTTGAGTGTTGTAAAGGGTATGTGGTTTCCTTTTGTTTGTTTGTGAATGTGAAACTGCTAACTGAGCCTTTTTTGTTTGTTTGAATGATTTGACTAAATGCTGAGCTAGACAAAAATCAAGGATTAAGGGAGTGACAGTTCTGTTTGTCTAAACCATATTGGCTCATGATTTTCTTTCTGTTTTTCCAGGCAATCAACCGCTTTTCCTAGATCTGGAGCAAAAATTGTCCTTGTACCTCCCAAAGTCCTGGAGAAAGAATACATCAAAGGTAAATTCTTCATTGTAATATCATCCTTCAAAAATCAGTCTAATATGCTGTTGGTATTGGTGTTACATTTTTTGTGGAAGCTGCCATACATTTCTTTTTGGGATTATTTGAAGAATAGAGAGTTTAAAACAACATAATATATTTGAAATGGAAATCTCGTGTAACAATGTAAAAGTCTTCTAATGTCACTTTTGATCAATTTAATGCATTCTTGTTTTGATTTCTTGACTGAGACATAATAAGCCAATCGTCGAGATAAATCTGCCTGTTGTCTCAGGGGAGAAAGTGCTGTGTCCTTGCACTTCGTGAAAGTATAAGGTGCTAGGGACCGACCAAATGGTAGGATCGTGTATTGATAAACCTGCACCTCAAAGGTGAATCTCATGAATGGCCTGTGACTGGGCGTTATTTGAATGTGAAAGTTAGCATCTTTCCGATCCACCGTTAAGAAACCAATCCCGTGCCCCCCGTCATCCTCGTGTAGAAGTGATCCGCTTGAGGTGCATGAAGAGCGAGGGATTTGTATCAAGTTGAAATTTCTCTTTTAGAACTGATTGTCGCAGCGTCAAACACAACAGTAGCAGTAAAAAGGATATTGTAGCGTTTTTCAACGGATGGCCACAGGAGAGCTACTCTTGCTGTCTGGCTTGTTTCCACGGCGAAGGCTTCAGAGGAGTCAGAAGTGTCACTTAAGGAGAGAAACCTGCTAGATGGTCAGAATAAGCACTCTTATTTGGTTTAAGCCATGGCCATTAGGCGCGCTCTGATGTGTTAAGCAAGGGGGTAATCCATCGACCGGAAGTTGAAGCCTCGTGTGAGCTGCCATCTTGTAGCAGAACTTCACCTGCATTAGCATTTCCATTGACTTCCATTCATTTTGGCGTCACTTTGACAGCGAATAACTTTACATCTGTGCCGTTTGATGACCCCATTTGTCCATTATTTATTTCTAAAGAACACGACAATGTATAAAATGCTCCATTAACTTGTACCTTATGTTATGGCATAGAATCAGTTTTTTGTAGTAGGCTAACAGTTGCGTCATAACCAAGCAACTCTCTGTCGTAGAGTAGAGAGATTACCATATGGACAGGAGGAGAAGCTCGCGCGCAATCAGGGAAACGTGGAGGCAAAATGACAAAATAAATAATCAGAATACCTAGCAAAAGTTTCTCCTGCTCCTAGCTCATCGACAGCTCCTACATACACTCTCCGCCTCTGAATGTTTCGAAAGGGAGGGATTCAGATTTCTCATGCCACAGCCACTAGAAGATAGACAGGTTGCTCACGTCATGACTACGTCGTCAAGCTCTGTTTGAGTCGGTTTGAGTCTGCGTGTCAGGAACAGAAGTGCTAAAAAATCGCCAAAAATGGGCTTCACTTGTCTCAATGGAGTTCCAATGAGATGGCTCTGTCCACTTCTTATACTGTCTATGGTGTTAAGCGGCAAGTTACGCAATGCGAAGTGACCGTTCTCGAAAGGGAACTAAATTTACCATGCTCCTAGGGCCCTCTAGAGTTCGGGAGCATTTCCATTGTGTTGTGGTTTTATTATTTTTTTAATTGTGGCTTGTTTCGTTGTGTTTTGCACTACTTGGCCAGCATACACTAAAGATGTAAAATGTAAAATTCATTGATGTATTTACTTTCATAGGAGGAAGTTGTTCTCTCTCTGAAAGTGCAGTACTTTGTTGAAAATGCTCAACTAATTGAGTAAGTACTTTTTTCCCGCCTTGATGTGATTTCTTCATCCAGTATTTTGCCTTTCTACTTCTAGGATATTGTTTCCAATGATATTTTGCCTTACTTTGTGTCACTTTGGGTTAATACATTTTTCAAAACATTAGCACAAAATTTGTATTTATGCATCGTTCATGGAACTTTTTTTCTTTTTCTGAAATGATTTAGTTGGAATATATGTAGTGGATTGTGTTAAACAGATTTTTCAGTTTTGATCCTGTTGATAATTTAAAGCCTTAGACATTTGTGTATTAAATATGAATAGATGCAGTAGGCTTAATAGGGTTAATATCCCACTAATTAAGCAGTCATTCACCAAATAAATGAATAATAAATACATGCAAGCATACATAAATACATGTACATGAAGTACCGGTTTCACTTTAGAATACATTTCTTATCTTGGTTAATGTTAATTTCTATTCTACAATTAACATTCAGTTAATGTATTATGAGCAAAGATGAATAAACAATGAACAATACTATCTCTATCTCTATGTTGGTTTATGATACCTATGCATTAACCACTGCATTAAAACTGTTTTAAAGCTACACTGTGTAACTCTTTTAGTTTATTCTTAGCTAAAAACACTTAGTTCTTTCAAAAATATATGTGCTCATTAAGGTATATTTACCTCGTTCAAGTAATAAAGTATTCTCGTGAGTGTATATTATGCCATTGAAAATACATACGGGTATGGGGTTCTAATGTCGGTCGCCATGTTGCCCCTCCATCTTGAAAGTACATTAGCCAAAGAGGTACATACCCGTTAATTCAAGCTGCCTTTCGCGTTTACGTTTGAGTTAACAATCAAGGACGAGGTCGAACTGGAAGCCATGTAAATCTTGGACTACATTGACCACCTTAGGAGTTAAAAAAATATTGGAATTGAGAGGAATAGAAACTAATATTCAGTGGATGGACATATACCTTTTCACCGCTAGATGGGGGTAAAAATTACACAGTGTAGCTTTAAGTGTCTTGTTTTAAACTGCTTGTTTCTTTCTCAAAGAAACAATGAAGCCCGTCAGCTGTATTATGCTGAACTTAAAGGGAGAGTTTTGAGATCTGAGTGCTTTGAGCAAGAAGGATTATACTTTCAGCTGGCTGCATACGCCCTGCAAGCTGACCTGGGCGACTATGAAGAACCAAACTTTGCATACTTCAGCCCACAGAGTTTTTTCCCTTTTTGGGTGAGGGTGTTTCAATTTCCTGGTTTAAATTTGTGGGGCTGAAAAAACTTGTTCAGCCATTCTTACTGTGCACAAACTGTTGTTAAATCTAATGCTCTTTTCATTGTGACACTGATAGATCATACAGAAGCGTGGGGATGATTATATCCTGAAGCACATCCCAACCCTGCATAGGGAGCTTAAGGGAATGTCATCCAGCAAGGCTTCCTTACATTTCATGCAAGAAGCGTTGACCTTGAGTGATGTGCCCATCACCAGCTATACAATGTTCAAAGTTAGTGACTTTAACACAAGTCCACTGTTCAAGTGTTGTAATACCAAGGCCAGACTAGACTATAGACTGGAGTCTTGAGTCCAAGACCACATTTTCAAGTGCACTTGGACTTGACTAGTCATAGAAAATATGGTCTTAGACTCAAACTTGACAGTCTTGTCTGAACTTACTACAACTCTGGTATTCAGACAAATGTAGTTCCTGAACTTGAATTGAGGTATGCAAACAGAAAACAGTATTGAAATTAAGGAAATTGAATTAAACTGATTTGATCTGAATTCAAAGGAATTCATATAAATTTAAACAGAAAAGCATATTTTATCTTTGGTTTGACAAAATATATTATCAAAATATTTAATAAAACAACTTTTATCGACCAACGTAGAAGAAAACTTAGTTTGGTCACACAGATTAGGGTCAAATTATCACTATAACCATTAACTAAAACTTTAGCCCGAATAAACTCCTAATTACTGATGATTATTAATAGTTAGTAAGGTGGTTGTTAAGTTTAAGTATTGGGTAGAATTAAGGGATGTAGAATATGATCATGCAGAATAAGGCATTAATATGTGCTTTATAAGTACTAATTAACAAAATTCAGAACTGATGTATTGGATGTGTTTGTCACTACACTGAAAGTCACATTAGACATTTTGTGGGTGCTTAAACGTCATCACATCACACAGATAAACTACTGTACTCACACAAGTCTGCTTTTACAACCTCACTGTGTTTATAATCACGTTCTTGCAAACTATTTTAACTCAAACTACAAAGCTTTTGCCCAACCCTGATTCAAACATCTGTCTTACCAATATTTATCATGTTTCACTGCTAAGATTCTGTCAGTTTCAGTCACACTCTCTCTTTCTTTCCATTTCTGGCCCTCATCTCTGTCCCTGCTGTCTCAGGAAAAGAATAAAGCACAAGGTTGTATCCTCTTAGGCCTGGCTTCTGGAGGACTGCAGATCTCTGAGGTTAGTCTAAATTCAAGGCCAGTTACAAGGTATTGCATTACAAGTAAAGCGGGTTACATATTCAGATTACTTTTTTCAAGTAACTGTAAAGTAATGCATTATTTTAAATTAACTCAAGAAACTTTGTTTTCCCATTAATTGACTGACACTTTAATTTTCCCCAACACTGGATACATCATTCATGCCACCCGTATGGAACTGGACAGACTAATCATATTCTATCCATAAATGTTACAGTACGTTTTCTATAAAACCAGCACCAACCAGTATAAACTGACCTAGAACAGAATAGAAATTTGAGTGAAATGTGAGTCTAATTCAGACGTTTCTGTAGGGTTGATTTACAATTCCTCAAATCATACATATGTCCTCATTACAGATATGGTTCTTGTTTTTACTCTCCAGACGCTGAATGGAAAACAACAGTTTCTATATGATTTGCCGTGGTCAGACATTCGTTCCATTACATTTCAGGTGATCATTTCATTGTGACAAATTCGACACTTTGACGTAAGAGCATACTTTCGAGTCCAATAAACCACAATTTATTCACAATGTTCTACAGTAAGTCTGTTTTGCTGTTTGAGAATGAGTTGTGTTCTTGGTTGCTCTACAGGGCAGGAAGTTTAACATTCAAGGTGATGGCTTACATGATCATAAGATGGTGTTCTATAGTTGTTCTGTCCTTCATGCCATAAACCTGCTCCAGCACATAAGCAACAGTCACCGGCTGCATCTGGACACAAAGCCCTTGGTCATGCAGCTCAAGGAAAAAAACGGTCAGTCCAAATGAACAACAAAGCTGTGGAAGAGGGTGATGCAGAGAAGAAAAGATTCTGCATCTGTTGTGGTCGACTGTCTACTAAGCTTCCTGTTTTCTTACCTACACATTTAAAAAAAACAATATCAAGGACTGCTGTAAAAGTAATAATGATTGTTTGTGTATGCAAATAGTGATACTTTACACAACTATACTGTAAATTGTTAACTTTATTATTTTTCTTTATTTTATTTGAATAATTTACATAACTAGACATATGTTTTACACACACTCTGGGTTTGAATGTGAGTCCTGCCTATGTTTAGATAGAGGGACACACAGAGAGATGTACATCACAGACGGAGCTGATCTGGACATGGAGGACAGCGAAGATGAGCTTCCACCAATGAAATTCCTCTTAGACCAGTTGCGAACCACTGGCACCACTGAATATACAAATATCAAAGGTAAAGAATGAGAATGATTTCCCCATTGATAGCAGAATCACATGGACTTAAAGTTATAGTAAGTTGTTTTAGAGGCCTAACTAAACAATATGGGAGTGGTTTGACTGCAGAGCCATTTTTATATGTCTGATGTGAGAAGCCAAATTGTGAAACCATAAAATATATCATAAATATGCTTATTTTGTACAATACATGTTGCATGTATCAATATTAACTTGATATTTCACAAACCATGAAAATGAATTATTTACACGGGAGCATAAAATATAATATAAGAATAATAATATGAGATATAATATAGTAATAATATAATATAAGTAAGTAAGTAGGTAAGTTACTTACTTACTAATATAAGAATCTATATGTCACCTGTATGTTTTTTGCAAGAAAAACAAAAAAACATACGTGAAACTATGGAAAATAATGGCAAATGTTTTTTCAAACAAAAAAGCTTCTTGAATTGCACTACTTAAAATGTGCATTGCATTATTTAACCATGCTTGCATTTTGATGCCTTGTATTTTAAAGGGTCATTCCACCTCTGGAAAGATGAATGTGTATTTAAAATGGGTAATTTATGTAGAAGAAAAGTGAAATTGTTTTTGAATTTGGAGCTTTCTAGACTGAGAAAAGACAGAAAATGTATTTTTGGCTTATGTGGATGAAAGACAACAACTCCCAGAATGCACTTGCTTCGCTGCCCTAGGAGGCCACGCCTACCGGTAAGAGCGCAGTAGTTAAACAACTAGAATAGGCTACTAGTGAGTCTCCGTGATGAGTCTGCCCGAAAATGTGTTTCGAGATCACCCAAAATGTCCGGGACTCGGCTATTGCGTTCTACAGTCGCCATTCATCATGTTTACTGTGGCGAGCAGGTCGAGTGAGGGCCGCGGGAGAACGACGCAAGGCCGGTGGCGTGATTACCGATGAGCGACACCTGTGAGACGCACCGGTCTCGTATCACTCACGGAGGAGCGGGAATTTTATTAGCAATGTTAAAACGCACATCAACCGATCACTTTTTTAGCGTTCATGTAAACACTACATCCAGATTCACCAATCAGAATGAATTCAGTTAGATTGAAACAAAAGCTGTACATGTAAACAATGAATGCGACTGCAGAAAGCAAAAACTGAATCCCGGACATCGACGGCCGGACATGTCTGGGAAAAAGAGGACGGTAAGACTCGGCTTTCTCCACAGAACAAGAGCCTGCTAGCTTAGCTTCCAAAAAAAGATGGCTGACACTATGTGTAATCCCAATCCTCCATAACGCATCCGTGTGCGTATTCAGTACCTTCGTCCATATTTTCAAAAGGTTTCTGCCAGTGAAATCAAACGCACTAGCACTGATCTGTGATTGGTCTGTTAGCGCATTAGGATCAACCCCCTATGGGCGGGTTTGAAAGGGTGGAGTCAGTGTTTGTAGTCTTTACAGAAATCCCCCCATCTTACACTTCCTCCTACAATGACGTAAAATTAACATTTTTGCGTCATCGTGGGGGAAGTGAAAAAGGTAAATAGCTGATTTCTCTCGTCTCTGGGGAAAATGAGAGAGTGTTGCACGACCATTCAATAGTATTACTGGGTTTCTAACAATGAATGAATGAAAAGTTTTTATTTCGAACACGTAGAAAACAAAAAAAAAACAAAAAAAAAACAATGGAAAGCTTAATGCAAATGGGTGGAGTGTCCCTTTAAGGGTCTGCATTTTTATGGGCTGAAATTCAACATGTTCGTATATTTAAGCTGTGAATATTTAAATTCAAAACATTTCTCAAACATTTTCATTTTTTTTTAAATTCAACAATCCATATTCACCTTTCAGATTTAGCTTCCAAAATATTAATTCTGTTTAAAAATACAACTTATAATATTCGACAGTCAAATTACGGCCCATTTTATTTCAATTTATAATATCACTTCCACAAATTCAGAGGTTCAAATTCAACAGAAAATTCAAGGTGGTGCAAGCAAGTGTTGACAAAGACCAAATAAAGCGGAAAAAAAAAATGGACTGAAAATTGCTGGTTGAATATTATAATTTGAGTTTTTAATCGGAATGAATATTTTGGAAGTGAAATCTGAAAGGTGAATATGGATTGTTTAATTTTTAACAATGAAAATGTGTGTGAAATGTTTTGAATTGAAATATTTAGTTTAAATATAGGCTTCAACCATGTTGAAGTTCAGCCCATTAAAATGCAATGTAGTATTTATTTATTTATTTTTTCGATTAGTGCAATTCAACAAGCTTTTTTGTTTCAAAAACATTTGGCATTATTTTACTTCACTTTTAATCTCACATATGTAAAAAGGCCACTTGAAATCTGCCTTGTCCTGACTCATATCCCACTATTCAGTCACTCTAGTTTTTTTTTTTATCCTCCTCTTTATCCCAAATGAGATTTATAACTTAAAGTAATGTAGCAATACAATTAAAGTTCCTCTAGTTTCTGATGCATTTTTGCTTCTCAAATAATGTATCTTGATATAAGGATGTTTAAAAATGTAATGGAAAATGCGACCCAAAAATATATACTAATAAGGACCACTTGACCTTTGAATAACGGTCACTATTTGTGACTTCAAGATGAATGTCTAAGGACCATTTATTAATGTCCTTATTTGTGTTATATGTGCAGATAAGTGCCCTTGTGGCTTAGAGATGAGTGTTGATGAGCCAGAAGAAATGTTTGTAGATGATCCTGAAGACATCCTGCGTTTCGTAGAGCTGGTGGAGGGTGTATCTGTGGATGATCCTTTACTTCTGCCAATTTCTTGAAAGGTGAGACCAAGATGTGGTATTATGACATGTAAATGTAGTTTCTTAAACGTCACATACACGGTTTCAATAGGGTCAGTAAGATTTAAAATATATATATATATATATATATATATATATAAAAATATATAAATATATGATTTTATTCAGCAAGGCTGAATACTGTCATCAAAATGAAAGTAAATACATTTATAATGTTAAATTTTTATTTCAAACACATGCTGCTCTTTCCTATTTTCTATTCATTTGAGTAGAAGATTTTTTTTACGGTTATCAACAAAAAATCGGAAAAAAAAGCACAAAAAAGCCGGACAACCGTTTTTAAGATTGATAACAATAAGTATGTTACCTGACCGCAAATTCCGCATATACTGTAGAATGATTTCTAAAGGGTCGTGTGAAACTGAAGACTGTTGAAACTTTAGCTTTGACTTCACATAAAATGCCTTTGAGTGGAAGTGTACATGAATTATTTCCATCCTGTAACATGGTGAAATGAAATGTCAAACTGATAGCCTACCCTGCTGAAAGAAACCCTGCTTTAATTAGTCAATGCAGCTCATAGCTGGTTTAAGATGGTCTCCTAACATGACTAGCTGAAAAGTGTCCTAAACCTGCCAACAGGCCAGTCTAAAAGACTGGGAGATCAGTCTAAACTGATGTAAGGGGATTTTTCAACAGGGTAGTCTTCTGATGCATACATTATGTTTCACAAGTTAGGGAATGAAGGACACGGAGTAAAATGTATTTTCTGTCTCCTATCTGCAGGTCACATTTCACTGATACAGTATGTGAAATCACACATGTCACATATCACTGAGGTTGCATCAGTGATACCCAGGAAGTGGTCTTAAGAGGAACAAAGAGCCACAGAGCTTTGGAGATTCTCTTTATACATGTTATGATTTAAAATGATTATATAATTTTAAATGCAGTTTTAACTTATACTTTGGGTACTCTAGCACATATTGTATAACTTTGAGCTTTTCTAATAAAACTAACCAGTGTGCACATAAGTATTGCAATACATAAAGAGTGACCTTTTGTTGGGAATTTCCTAAGAATTCATTCAGACTGTAAGGACATAGCAATGTAGAGAGAGAAGATTAAGAAAATGAACTTTAAAAAAAGAAAGACATTTACTTGTTGATTGTACTGTTCTACATTGTTTATATCCTGTGAGTCATCAGTGGTTACTTTGCAAAAGTGTTTTTTTTTAACGCAGTTAACGTGAAACGTCAAAGCGTATCATTTAAGGAAGTATAAGGCAGACCGGCACATGCTTCCACGATGGCTCGTTGCACCTTTGAAATGGTGAGTGACTGTGCATATCTTGCATGCTCTGTTATTAATAACTTATTTATTAACTCCTAAAGGGGTTGAGTTGTCATCTTGAAGGCTTAATTTCAGTGTGAATCATGTTGCGATGAAAGCTTTGATTACATCTTGACACGATGTAGGGGAATTATTCTCTTCTCACAGTCTATTCTCTTACGCAAAATCGAAGCATGGACTCATGTTGAGTCAGAGATGGTGTAAATGATTGATTTATCTAAACGATGTAGTTTGTGTTTGACTAAATGGTATTGTCATGCATTTTATCTGGCTATTATCTTTTCAATTAATAGTGTTTCATGTTTTGGCCATAAGGTCAGTTGAGAATAAATAGCTGTGGTTTGGATAAGATAAAAAAAAAATCTGGGTCTCATCCAAGTACATGAATGTCTTCACGTCCAAACAATTATAGAAGTCCCTTAAGTTTAAAAGTTTCACCTCTTACGGAAAACAGGGACCTATTTTTAAGAACTTTGGGTTGTTAACCACACTGGGACCCCATTGAAGTTTTCTCAACAAACAAATACTGAAACATTCTTCAAAATATATTTTGTTTTGTTCAACAAAAGAAAAAGTCATATAGATTTAGACCATTATGAGAAAAATCATCATAGCTGATAACCTAAGATAACCGATGAGCTCATTGGAAAATCACAATTTCCTCTTTTACAGTTTTTCTCGATTGTTTACACACATTTTCTGAAAGAATGCCTCATATTCTCAGAACTCTACACACAAATCTAAAAATCCCAGAACACACAAATACACGGTAACAAATATATTTTATTTTTCCCACAAAATCAATGGGAGATAGATCCCACATTTTGTACACCCCAACCAACACAAAGTTGCACATACAGTGGTCTACATGCAAAACAACTGAATTTTTTATGCTGTTACAGTAAAAAAAGAAATAAAAATATATCTATGCTGCATCCTCTCTTTGGTTTTGGTATTTTATGCTAAAGCTCTGATTGCTAATTGTAAAACTGTGTCAAATGTGTTTGCCCATGTGACGAGTCAGTGTGAATATTTGAATGGCAGTGTGTTCCTCATGAAAACAAGAGATTTTCTGCATGAAAATTGTGCCAAATGCAGAGGATTGTGTGTAGTGTTTTGAAAAACGTGTGTTTTAGAACTGCAATTTGAGTGTAAAGCAGGAATTGTGCTTGTAGTTCAGCAGAATTGGTTCAGGGAGTTGGTGAATGAGTTACGTGTTGTGGTCATTGTGTCTCAAGTACCAGAAAATGTGTGTAAACAATCGAGAAAAACTGTAATTACTGTTAAAACATTTCAAGAAAACAAATGAGAGCACTACTTTCTAGAGCACTGAACCTGTTGAATGTGAAGATTCTTTCTTGATCTATTCCACTGTGGTAGAAGTGATTTGGGTGTTACCCAATACAGTCCATGTGGCATTCATAATTCTAGCTGATTTTAAATATGCTGTAGATGCACTGTGGTTACAGCGTATTACCAGTCTAGCGGCAAGAATTTGAGTGTGGTGAGTCTTTGATTGGGTGTTGTTTCGATAGCATATTTATCTATACAGCATAGATTTGTAGGAATGAATTGTCATTAGACAAGTAAAAAGTATAAATAAAAGATGAGTAGGAAATAGGCAAACTTGGTATGCTTCATATCTGTCTCCATTCACATTTGTGTCATATGTTGGACTAGCCTGACTGCACCCTCCTACGCACTCTGGTTGAACCAGGCTAATGTTGGACAGTATACCAAGAAAATGTACAATGTTCCTTTCACTTCTGAATGATGTCAAACATTCCATTTTTTAAAAATGTTGTCTTTGTGGTATACTGAGGTATCTTTGAGGTAATGTCAGTGAACTTCAAGCCAAAGAAGTCCTATTGAATAACTGCACTCAATGAGCAAATTTTCCGCCATCTTGATGTACAGCCTCATTTTTGTGGTTTGTGGCCTTGATCTTATTTTGAATGGCGTCTTGTTAGATCTGTATTTTTGTTGAGGGAATAGGCATTTAAAGAAAAGAAAATTCTGTGACGGAAAAAAAAAACTAGTTCCTCTTTTTCAGATGTGCCTTTCAGATGATACTGGGAAAGAGGTGACTAATGACTTTAACAATGTTTTTCACTGATGGTGATGCTGTGCATGTTTCAGTGCCCACCGTGATTCTGCTGTAGTATTTCCATTTGGCACAGAGCTAATGGGTAGAAGGACAGGAAGTCCTTGCTTTTCTGTAGGTTGGTGGTTTGTGGTTGTAAGGGTTGATAGATGACAAACCTTAAGGGAAACACCCTGAAGTTATGTGTTTCTTCTCTTCTTTAACTTTAAAGATTTCACTTTTTTATATGTTTGTATGCCACAATTTTATTATTTTGTATGCATATTTTTTATTGTTTTACCCGTGTCACACATGTTTTTGAAATAAGTCTCTTAAGTCTCTTAACTTAACTAAAAATAAGTCTTAGCTGTCACTTTTGATCAACTGAATACAATTTTTCTGAATAAAAGTTGGTAACATCTGATTTGAAAGTGTCCTTATTTCACGTTGTAGTTACTGTAATAACTATAAATTGTACATAATTACATGCAACTGACCCTAAACCAAACACTATTTCTAAACTTCACCCTATAGTAAGTACAGTATTTAATTATTATTACTCAGTACTTAAATGTATACTGTAATTACACTGTAACACAGACCATTTATTATCTTAAAATAAACCATTTATTTTATTATGCAAAAACACAAAGCCTGATTAATTAATTTCAGAGATACAGAATACAAGTTTCTAGACAAGTGGAGTTGGAACATGAAACCAAATTCAATATGTGGTCAGTGGCCAAATGTGGATCCAACTTGCAGAAATATTACATTACCACTAATCTGTTGTTAAAGTCATCTGTCAACGTGACACTTCTCTAAGGATGTTAAGCAAGCATAGACTGATACCACTGAGGAGTTTAGTTTAGTGTCTTTTATATATTTTGTAATATCACAATGATTCAAGTGGTGTGTATATAACCAGTATTTTAATTTTTTATATGTTTGCAGATGCTGTTTTTTTGCCTTTGCTGTAATGCACTTCATGGTAAATTAATTTTTCATTCTCCTACATTTTTATTTCTAATGGTCTATATGTGTTTTATTTGCTTGTAGTGTAAAGGTGTCACTTTTTACAAAGAAATCAAGAATCTAAAAAAACTCAAAGGAATGTGTTGAAGGGATAGTTCACTTTGAAATTTGTTGGTTTGTTTTAGCTTACCTCAAGGGCATCCAAGATGTAGGCGTCTTTGTTTCCACAGAAGTTTTAATTTTGATATTTTTAGATCAAACCATTCTTGTCAGTCAGTCTTATGATCTATGGTCACCACCTCAAAGAGCATGCACAGAGAAGTCCAAATTAAACATGACTCATAAATGTAAGTACACATTGATGGCCTAAGACACGAAACGAGCGACTTGTGTGAGAAAACGAACAGTATTTATATCGTTTTTACCTCTTGTAACCACAGCCATGCCCAAGTGATCTGAGGGCGCGGACGCTTCGGTCTGTGCATTCGCCGGAAGTGAACTCTTGCGCGTGTACGTCACTCATTGTTTACACAGAGATTTTGGAAGTGTTACCTTTCACTGTGAAGATCTAAACATATTTAGATATACATGAAATCGCAATGGAAGACGATTTCAATATATATCAACAGACAACGTTGATTTTTTTTCACGACCATATTTAGATCACTGAAACTTGCGCAGACCGAAGCGCCCATGCCCTTAGATCACTTGGACGTGGCTGTGGTTACAAGAGGTAAAAACTATATAAATACTGTTTGTTTTCTCACACAAACCGCTCGTTTTGTGTCTTAGGCCATCAATGTGTACTTACATTCACAAGTCATTAAATCATGTTTAATTTGGACTTCTCTGTGTATGCTCTTTGAGGTGGTGACCATAAACCTCCATTATATGACTGACAGACAAGAACGATTTGACCTAAAAATATCAAAATTGAAACTACTCCGGAAACAAAGACACCTACATCTTGGATGCCCTTGAGGTAAGCTAAAACCTACCAAAAATTAATTTCAAAGTGAACTATCCTACTTAAACTACTTGATTAAAAAAAAACCTCTCAAAATCGGTTTTGTTTTGTAGAAAAATGCAACTTCTCTGTTATAATAAAGCAGACTGCAGAAAACTTTACTTGCTTCAAGAAGATGGAGGGACATGCCCCAATTTGTACGTCTGCTCAAAGTACATCTTCATGTCAGATTAAGTACAGTCAAGGGTCCATGTGCTTAAAATGGCCAACAGACATTGCACTGACCTGTGTGAACGATTCTGTCAAGACACTTAATGGTAAAGTGTCACAAACCTTTTCAGAAATGTAAAATATAAATGTCATTTCTTGATTTTCATATCTGAATATCTGAATCTTCTTACACAGAAGAAATCAAGTGTGCCCACAACCAGGAATGTGAGTCAAAAAGCAGTCATTCTTAATTTGGTTATGGTATACTTTATTGTGAAGCATGTATTTTTTGGGATGGATTATTTAATTGAACTATTTTGTTTTGTTTTTAGCTATCAGTTGCAGTGGAGAGTATCAATCTGGTAAAAGTATTCTTATTTTTATTCTTATACAGTATTTCACAGCTGTATGCTGAAATTAAATGATTGTTGTGTTTTTTTTTTCTTTTTGAATCAGGAAATTCAGTGTCAACCCTGTCTATGAGTAAGTGTGCAAGACTGAACAATTACTACTTGATTGCATTCATCATAAAATAATTCCACACATCCATGTACCTAAATTGTTGCTCCTTTTGTGTATTTGCAGGCAAACCTTTAACAACAGCATGTGCTGTTCTGGCCTTTATCCACTGGATGTCACTAAATCCTTTTTTCTAAAGAGACACTTTGCTCATACTTACTTACACGGTCTGAATTTTTATAACACGGGTTAGTTGTAACAATTCCAATCTGTAAAACCAAATCCCCTGATTCACTTCACACACGCTCAGTTTAGTCCTTATTCCAAATGTAAAGTAACGTTAGAGCCTTGTGGAAAACACAGCAGATGTGTGCAACAATTTCGAGGTATGAAAGTAACTTTTTTTTACTTTGTTTATTTTTATTAGGGGAATTTCTGCTTTATAGTTAAACTCGTCAAATTTCAATTATGTTTATTGTGTGTCTGTGTAGATATTTTTCATGTTAGTGCTAATGTTTTGTCTGTTAGCTGTGAGGTGAGCTCTTTCATGGCTACAAGACTCTGGGTTAGTTACTTTACACACGACACACACACACACACACACACACACACGTTTAATTTAAATTGTATAATGGACAATACCATAACTGACAGTAACAAACGTGCTTACACCAACACAATGTTCGAGTGTTCAATTTCAGTTTATTATCGTCAATTACTATGACAGAGTAACACATTTAAAAGTAACACACACACAATGTTCAATTTCAATTTTATTGGGTCCAATAATATGACTGACAGTAACAAACATGCTTGCACACAAACAATATTTTGTGTTCAAGTTAAATTTATAATGGTCAATTATGACTGAGAGTGACACACACACACAGACTCAGAGTATGTTACAACTAACTATGGGGTGAATTGTAACATTTTATTCCTCATGTTTAAAACTAAACCATGTATTTTCTGTTTGTGTTGCAAAAAGAAAAGTTCTGTCATTTGATAGCAGGTACTTGTAACTAGTTGAATCACATTTTGAACACACTGGCTTAATAGTAATCCAAGATATAGACAGAAAGGCAAAAAGAAATGTTACAACCATCCCCGGTCTCCCCCTATAGATAGCTATAGTACAAGTAGCATTGTCTACATCATGCACTAGTAAAAAGTGTTTTGGGGTCATAACATAATTGTGCAAGAAGCTGTGTGAAAGTCTTTATTAATCCATAATCTTCCCATGTGATTATAATTTTGTGCAAAAACTATTAAAAGTGCTTGCTGTTTTATTGCCTCTTGTGTTCATTTCTGTTGGAAACTGGAGTTATATGTACGTATTGGTACGTATTTTTGTATGGATTTAGCGGTTTTCAAAAATATTGCAACAGGTATGTTTTTCCAATGAGCATTTGTTGCGGGAATATTTAGATAATGAATTTAAAAAAAGAATAATGATGTACACAGATAAACAATTTATTATGCACTGTTCCATAAATAATAATCTTCAGTTTTGATTTCATGTTGACTTTTAACTTTCCCTTCCTCTTGCAGCGAAACCTCTTCTCTGACGACACATTTTTCAGCGTGAGGGTGAGACAACCTGTCCCTCACATGACAACAATCCAATTCATTTCTGATGGACAAAATCAAAACTCGACTCTCGACCCTACATTTTTTCTTGTTTGAGAAGCAGTTTCACTTGGACATACATTACAATAGGTAAGAAAAGCCTATCACAACTTCCGTTTCATGCAGACTTCAAGCCAAATGGCTAGTCTGGCAACAGCAAGGGTAGTTGGTAATGGCATAAACACATGTGCAATTGAGTAAACAGCCTGCTTGTTCGGTCAACGCAAAATGTGTTACATTTCCATCCCCGTTGTTATTGAGAATGAATATAAATTCAGTAACAAAGCAACAACTGCCGTACTAACATTCAGGTTATAGTGAGTGTGACGGACAGCAACTCCTGGGGTTTATAGTAGAGGTGATGGGAGGAGGGCCTCAGGGGGCCAGTTCCACAGCGCTCATGAAACCATTAGTCCCCCACGGTCTGTTTTCCCAGAATGCCCTGTAGAAGCACTAACCTCTTAGGCTCCAAGTATGTTTACTCTGAGTTAATGAATGAGCTAGTGTTGGAGCGAAAGTGGGAGAGTAAATGCTAATCACATCCCTTTCCCCCAAAATAAAGCCTCTATTTCACCCCTTTCCTGTTTGCTTTTATTACTGTTTAGTTAAATCATCAGTGATCACGCTTTTAAAAGCTAGTCAGAGACTAACCGCAGGTCATAGCACTGCCAGAAAAACACAAGAGGGGGAGGTTTGGTGTGTGAGGAGCGTAAAACCAAAGTTGAGGTGTCATATGTGATGTCAACTCTCACTTCTCCAACAATGCCAATTGAGTAAACACACACAAATGGTATGGGTGAGGGAATCAGAAGAGCGAGAGAGGGAGAAAAAGAGAGAAAGGAGGGGCCGTCCTTACTTGCTCTTCTAAGCGGGAGTGAGAGGAGGTCCAGAGGGAGGAGGCAAACGGGGAGAGCAGGATTGAGAAAGAGAGTGAGGAAAAGAAGTGGTGCTCTGTTTGCGGAGCAGTCTGGGACCATGCTGTCAGGCAGCTCTCTCATCTGGATTGGGGCGCTGCTTCTGGGGCTAGAGGCTTCGTTGACCGGGGCATCTGACTTCCAGCACCATGGATATGAGGAGATGGTGAGAGCTCTTTTTGCTGTCCAAAGCGAATGCCCCTACATCACTCGCATCTACAGCATCGGTCGCAGCGTGGAGGGACGCCACCTATACGTCCTGGAGTTCACCGATAATCCTGGCATCCATGAAACACGTGAGTCTTTTCTTTACTCTTGTACCAAGGCATTAAATTCCTCACATATAGCTCAGGAAAACTCTTCCACGTTGTTCCTACTGAGGCTGTAGGGCTGCCAGAGCTGATTGGTGAATTAATCATTTGGGTTTGACTGCATCATTTGGGCTGTTTTCTGAGATAATCACTTAATCACACATCGAAATCAAGCTTTGGCTGGTCATTCATCATGAGTTTGTCTGGCCAGCCATGTTGACCGTCAACTTGATTTATCTTGTTGCTCCTCAAACACTCAGATACAGTAAATTTCATTTAAGAATGGACACTAATGGGTTTAAGGGGGAGTATGTGCCTGAAGATGTGGTGTAGCCGTTGCAGACAGGAGTAAACACAGGTCTTGTTAGTAATCCAAAACAAGAACATTCCCACTGACTGGAATGAAAAATCAGAATGTTTAATAGCTTGTTTGTTATTCCTAAAAACAAAGAGCAAATGGACACTTCTGCGTCTCGGATGATCCTATTGAGAACAAGAGCTCATTAATCTTGCATGTGTCTCCTCTAGAGTTCCAGAAGAGAAAAATATCTTGAACTTTGCTTAGATTGGCCAAGATAACAAAGTTTAAGAATCAAAAGTCAGAAATCCCAAAGGATCTGCTTTGTAAGCCAACAATCGTCTTTATTTGGAATTTCAAGAGAAACATCTGATACTTCAAAAAAAGATGACAGAGAAATCCTATGTATCTTATGAAATATTAAAAAGAACAGCTGCTCAGCAGTGACATTTCTCTTTGTATCCCTCTGTAGACCTTGTTCCTTTGTTCACTCAAATACAGAACACTTTCAACTCTGCCATTGGAAGTAGTTGAGATTCATCAACAAAATAACTTATTAAATCAGCCAGTTAATTTTTGCCATCAGATGTTCTCTCCAAAAATAATTTTCTTAATATGTATTCTTGCCTTGTTTTCCAGCACAAAATCTAAACATTCTTAAATCAAGATGTATTTGCTTGAGAAGCAAAGTTACTTATGATATGAAGTTTTCAGTAACACTTTAGTCCAATTCTTACTATTAGTCGCTAATTCTCATGTATATTACTAGGATATAGGCTGTTTATTAGTAATTATAAAGCACATATTAATGTCTTATTCTGCAAATCCATATTGTACAGCTTTAACCCAATTCCTAAACTTCAAAACGACCTTACTAACTATTATTAAGCAGTAATTAGGAGTTTGAGGCAAAAGTAGAAGTTTATAGTTGAGTTTATCTTTCTGAAAAATCTATCAAAATGGAGGGAGTTCATGCATAAAACAAGAAAAAATAGTCTGCCAATGAGGTCGGAAAAATAAACTTAATTCAAAGGGTAAACAAAATCATTTTCTGACCCCATGGGAGATTTTTCTTCTCATTTTAAGCATGAAGTCACTTAATTTTAAGCAATATTTCTCTTAATATTTGAAGTAATTTTGCTTTTCAAGTACATGTATCTTGATTTAAGAATATTTAGATATTTGTACTGGAAAACAAGACCGAAATACTGAGTAAGAAAAATCTGCTGCAGTAAGCATACAAAGGTAAAACCTCTGAGAGAATTGCAGGATGTATACATGTTCCACACAGAGTACAAAAACAGGAACCGATACAGCAGAGTGGGCAAAGTCCTTGTGACCACCTGACCCTTTAGATTTTAAACAATGTTCATGCATTAATGTCAAGGCCACCCTTTTTGTGACTCTGAGCAGAGGCACAGCAGAGTTAATTTAATTATTTGGTGATTAATAGGAAGACTGTGCCTGCACACAGTGGCTAATTAGATCTGCGATCTCGCCGTCACTCACTTCCGCATCAAAAAAGAACAAACGGAAATCTGCTGGTACTTGCTAGAGGAGATAATTGTGAATAATGAGCTGACAACTGGCTGTGAGACAGGAATTTCGATGAGTGGCCTGCTGTGCTGTTAAACCCTCAAAAAGCTTTTGTGGGAGGAAAATTATGAATTTTAATTCATTCATATTTGATACGAGCATTTAAAGTGTCAGCTTACTCAACCAAATGCCACATACACTGATGGAAAAGTGAATTTGTTTTAAAGGGATACATCATTTACTCACCCTCATGTCGCTCAATAATTTTCTGTGACTAAATATGGTGTGTTCTTCATACAAATATATTAAATGGCTTCAGAAGACTTGGAATGTAATGTATATGTTAATGTATAAGACCTTCTTTTATATGGTGCTTCTTGGAGCCATTCCCTTTCATTGTATTAAAAAATGTACATTTCTCCTGTTGTGTTCCACAAAAGAAAGTTATGGATCAACATGAGGGTGAGTAAATGATTGCAAAATCTCTTCAAATATTTAGTAGGCAATCCTTGCAGTACCTTTATATTGCATATTGGGCCTTAATCCATACAGTTTCTGCTTCTGAATTACATTTGCATGCATAGAGCTTGTTCCTCGCATGCTATTCATGGATCATGACTTCCTGACCTGTGTTTTTCAGTGGAGCCAGAGTTCAAGTACGTCGGGAACATGCACGGGAACGAAGTGCTCGGCAGGGAGCTGCTCATCTACTTAGCCCAGTTCCTGTGCGCGGAATACCAGGCAGGAAACGAGCGAATCACGCGCCTCATCCACGACACACGGATCCACATCCTTCCTTCCATGAACCCGGATGGATATGAGGTGGCTGCCAGGCAGGTATACAGCCCTTAGTAGCTAATCTACTTTATAAAACAAATACTAAAATCTGTGACCAACAGCGGGTGATGTGAATGTGAGCATGCATATACACTTATTTCTTCAGTGTGGCAGCTGTGGTGTGGGAGTGGGGGTGTTGTAAGTCTCTGGTGGCCTCTAGTTTGTTATGGAGGAATCAGTCATATCCCAGAGTGCATTGCTGGCTTTCTTTTGAGACTAATTACACCAGAAGAACTCACAAAAAATAACAAAATACATACAGTATTTTGTTTTCTGGAACAGAGCATCCATACACCTACAACATTCACACATCTAGAGTGCAAAATTATAGTAATACAGACTCCTTTTTTTTTTGGTCTTCGAGACTAATTATATGTCCAGCAGTAAATGGTGGCTGAATGTGGCCTCACACACCTAGTTATCAAGCGTCTCAATGGACCAGACAAGAACTAGCTAAGGAAACTATGCCTCAGCATCAGACAGGATCTATTTAACATGCTCTAACTCGCTTGCACAACACACACAAGCACAATAAACTACTTGAGGTATACATTTCACACCTGACATAGTGAGAATGTTAAAAGGTGATATCCTTCCCAAAATGGTACTTAAAGAATAGGAAATGATATGCTCTTTATCCGATTTACAGGGTCCAGAATTCAACGGCTACTTAGTGGGACGTGGAAATGCAAAGGAGGTCGACCTGAACCGCAACTTCCCAGACCTGAATGCTCTTATGTACTACTACGAGAAGCACAATGGCCAAAACCACCACCTGCCACTGCCAGACAACTGGGAATTACAGGTGATCATCAATCAGCGTCACATACACCTCTATAGGAGAGGAGACAATAGCTTCCATCCAAAGCTACTGCTAATTTAACTTCTGCGCAGAAATTGAATATCACATAGGCTAAAACATTTGCAAATAAAGCGCTGTTTCCATCCAGTGAGCCGAAGAGGACAAATTCGTAATTTCCTGATAAACTGCTGCTAAAATATCACTAAGAAAAGTTGGAAAAGCCAGTGTATATAATATTTTTTGTATATAATAAGATATTTGCATCTCTTTCTCTGCTGTTTTGGAACGCAGTCGTGTAAGACAGTTCTGGAAGGGAATTATACTGAACCAAAACAGCATTTTAGATACTTTGCAACAAGATTTTTCTGCGGATTTGTCCAGTTATGCTTGTGTAGCGTTTTGGAAGTGCTGAAAGATGTTGAGATAGACAATTAAATATAAGATTCTCTTTTATAGGGTAACAATAACACAATAACACATTTGTATATATGCTAACCATTTATGCGCACTACATTTCAAAAGTTTGGGGTCAGTAAGTTTTAAAAAAAAAAGAATAATTTTATTCAGCAAGAGGTCTTAAATTGATGAAAAGTGACAGTAAAGACATTTGTAATGTTACAAAAGATTATTATTTCACATAACCTTCTAATGTTCTGTTTATCAAAGAATCCTGAACAAAAAGGCATCTCGCTTTCCACAAAATTATTGAGCATCATAACTGTATTCAACACCAAAAACACAACTGTTTTCAGCACCAAATCAGCATTAGAATGATTTCTGAAGGATCATGTGAGACTGAAGTAACGATGCTGAAAATTCAGCTTTGACATCACGTGAATAAATTACATTTTAAAATATATTAAAATAGAAAACAGTTATTTTAAATTACAATAATATTTCACAATATTACTGTTCTCTGTTCTCTCTATCTTGATCTCTGATCAAATAAATGCAGCCTCAATAAACACATTAAAGACATAAAAAATATATATCCAAACTTTTGGACACTATTTTGAGATTTATTTATTTAAAGCGATAATGAAGATGATACTTCTCAGTCCAAAAAAAAAAGAGTCAAAAACCTAGTGCAACCAGTTGTACTCCATGACTCTTATGAGCCTGGCTTTTTATGAATTGTTTCGAATTTATTTATTATTGAAATCATTTCATTATTTGTCAGTTGTCAAACATTCATTGCTTATACAAACATGAAACGTGGTGAATGAACCCCAGATTCAGATATCCGTGGATCGTTCTGCTGGCCTGTTCTACCAATTGAGCTACAGGATCTGTATATGTTGTTTATATCTTTTCATGGGGTGACCTTTTTAATGTACAAACAATCTTTTATAACTAGACATCACATAGATAAATCCCTGTTCTAATCTTAAGTAAAATACAGGATAGTGCCAGTTTCCTGCATTGCAAAGAAAAACGTTTTTGTTTTTACAGTTGGACAGCAGACTTAAGCTCTCCATTAGTCTGTTAGTAACCCACCCAGCTCTCGTTCTGCCGGTCTGCTCTCTATCAATCGCCTCGCCAACAGGCCCACCTTTCACAAAATAGAGAGCCTTGGCTTGTGTAAATGGACTTTTTTAGCTTGTACTGCTGTTAGTCTTCATCAAGGGCTCTGGATATTTTGGTTAGCCTTTCACAACCTGCTGAGTAATATAAAGTCAACCTCATCTGTGTGTATCCATGCTATCCATCATGATTTGAGAATGTTACAAAGAACATATTGTGCAAGATGGAAGCAGGAACATCTGACCTTTACCACAAAGTAGTTTAATTACTAGAAATAGTTGATTTTTTTTTTTTTAATAATAAAATGAAAGAATTCCCAGATTTTTTGGAAGACCTCACTAGAATAATACAATCCATTTAAACAGCTCTTTCCAGGAACAACTATGTATTTTCCTTACTTCAAAATGAGAACTCCAGCTTTGGAGAAGTATGTTCACTGGCAGCCAGACGTCCCTCAGGAAAACAACAGAAGAAGCGCAGTCGGAGAAGTGTGACAAGTTCCAATCGTTTCTCTGTGAGTCAAGAGCTGTCACTCTCACATCAAACCCCGCTCGTGACCTTCTGACCCTAGTGTGGGTTTTGCACTACACAGACCTAAGAAGAGTGAAAAACATCTGTGTGAGTTCACAGCATGAAACCTGACTCTTCAATGACATCTAGGGCCAAAGGGACGCTTGGTTGTTTATATATACAGATCCATGCATAATAAATACACAGTTTCTTCAAAACAGAGCACGAACGGGATCAATAACCCAGCAGCCATCTCGAAGGAGCCAACTGGGTCAGGTGGAGGTTTATTATCCCTTCACGTCTAGCACCACATGTCAGATCTCTCAGATAGCAGAGTTGAAGGAAGAACGTTGCTGGAGTGTCATGGCACAAAAACCTAAAACAAAGGCTGAAATCTGAAAGTTTTTCCCTGTATTTTTGCTTCTTGCAGGTTGAGCCGGAGACTTTAGCAGTGATAAAATGGATGCAGAATTATAACTTTGTTCTGTCTGCTAACCTCCACGGTGGAGCTGTAGTTGCCAATTACCCCTTCGATAAGTCTCGCGAGCCACGGATAAGAAGCAAAACAACATACTCGGCCACCTCTGATGATAAAATATTTCGAAAGGTATGTTGTGTTTTTTTTAGTTGTTTGTGTGATTTTTTTTCTACTTTTGAAAAAGTTTAATGTCGACAATCAATTGTAAGCTATTTGTAAGATTATATCTCTTTGGTTTCTGTGGCACTATCAAATCATTTTACAAATGGGAGATTTTTTTTTTTTTTTTGCAATTCTGTATGGTTTTAAACCAAAGCTGACTTGCTAGTCGAAGTAGGTTTAAGATGGTATTATCTGCAGTTGTCTAAACTGCCTAGACAAGTCATCTAATTTTTTTCTTTAAGACAGGTCATAAGTTTATCTTAGTTGCACAAAAAGTAGATTTGCCTTTACTAACTGCTATTGGTCAAATTAGATCTTAATACAGAGTCTCCAAGCCTGGCCAAGAGCACAAAACCCTACTAAAACAAGATAAAAGACCAGCCTGATCTGGCTAAGAGTTACATTTAGACCCAGAGCTGGACAGTAATGGAGTAAAAGTAATTGAGAACAGTTTTGAGGGCTCTGTACTTTACTCGAGTATCATATTTGGAGTATTCATTATTTTACTCAAGTACATTTGAGAGGGAAATATTGTACTCTTTACACCACTACATTTCTAACCATAACCATGAGTAGCCGTTACTACTCCTATATATATATATATATATATATATATATATATATATATATATGGAATAAAAGAAAAATCTCAGAAAACCTCTATTTGTTGTTTCCCTCTCAAACGTGATTGGATTGTGCAGGCGCCACTGATTGGGACAGCCCATCAGCAATCACCTTCAGATTTTCACCAAAGTCAACTCCATGGTCAGATTTAGATAAGAGACGAAACCATGGACAAAACAATGGATGAAGACACAGCAAGTCCATCCCGGGAATGTCCCAACCCGTGGCCCCACCTTGCCAGACTATTTCAATTTTCTGAATTTTCTTAAATGTTAAATAAAGCAACATGGTAAAAAGATGAAAATTACTTTATTTTAATTTCAATTTGCATTCTCCTAGGAATTACATTAACATTTTTCACAACTTCATGTTGGACGTTTCTGTACATAAATGTAAGCACTGTAATGCAATATTTAGAAAATGTACACTTGATACTCAAGTACTTACTGTATACATTACAAACAAGTACTTCAGTACATTTATTCAAGTAGACATCTGACTGTAGCACTTTTACTTGTACTTGAGTCAAATTTAGCAAAGGGTATCTGTACTTTTACTCAAGTAATAATGCTGTGTACTCTGTCTGTCTCTGTTTAGACCAGCAAACCAGGTTGTAGTGTTGTTGTTGTTTGTTTTCTCAAGGCATAGTTGCACCGAAATCACACACTTCACCTAATGAAGAGCTGGCCGTTGTTATTCCAAATTCCCTGGTGAAATATTTACAGATTTGTGTGTTTTTGTATTGTGTGTGTGTGTGTAGTTGGCAAAGACGTACTCCTATGCCCACAGCTGGATGCATAAGGGCTGGAACTGTGGCGATTACTTTGATGAAGGAATCACAAATGGAGCCAGCTGGTACTCTCTATCTAAGGGTGGGTTATATTTTACATACCATGGTTCTCATTCAATTACTTCAACAAGGCTTGTGGTTTTGTCTCATCTAAATGCCTTGTAATTTAGCTGAAATTTGGAAAGTACAAGGACTTTTATCTTTAAGGACATGTAATTGTGTTCTAGTTTAGAGCGTTTTTTACTAGTGCCAGCACCTGTGTAATTCCACCAGTGAAATTAACTTTCAATATTCTAATTGAATTTCACATAAATCTTTAGGTTGTCTTTGGTCATATATTTCCATAAAATTACTTTTGCAAAACAAACAAACAAAAAAAAAAAAACACAGCATAAAATGGTCATGTAAGAGCATGTGAATAGTTTCCCATACACACAATACAAAAATTCTTTCACACGTGCACACACGGAAGTGTTTCTTATACAGTATATGTGCATTTTTTCTAGCAAATGTAACTTTTGAAGCTCTATAATTTTTCTTTTAAATGGTTGATTAAAAAAGTGAATATTTGGAATATGGGGGGCATCTGTTTTTATTTGTGCTGTACATGCTACATGTTAATGTGCTATTAAGAATAATCATTCTTCAATATTTGTGAAGGGATGCAGGACTTCAACTACCTCCACACAAACTGCTTTGAGATCACCCTGGAGCTCAGCTGTGATAAGTTTCCCCCAGCGACGGCTCTCGCCGGCGAGTGGTTAGCCAACAGAGAGGCTCTGGTGTCCTACATGGAGCAGGTGAGGATTTTCCCTGCTCACATTTGACTGTTTTACTGCTTTAGTTTCAGCTCTGTATGCCTGTAATGAAACAAGTAGAAGTTCAAACTCTGCAGTCAGAACATGTAGAACTGGAATTGGAGAGCATTGTATTCGAAATCAAACGAGTAAAAAGGGGGCCAGTATTCTAGCAGACACGGGTAAGAAAGACTTATTGGTTCACAATGGCCCCAGCAGGTAATGAACCTGTCCCTAGATATTTATAATGTGAAATTGATATGAACCTTCAAGGGTCACGTTGTGAGTTCAGGTAACATTACACTGCTTGCTAGCACATTTAAAGTAATGGATGGAATCGGTTTACCACTTTGAGTGCAGTGCCTGACCGTAACGAAAGCACAACCCTTGTGCTGGAAATCCTTTACCAACTTTGGTGTTTCCCAGTCAAAAATGACCAAACTTTTAAATTGCTTGTTATTCTATCATTATGCTATTTTTTTTCACCAAATATTGGATTCAATCTTTCTATTATCTCGTTTGCTTTCAATAAGCACAGGTTTTGAATTTCTTTTTTTGGAACTGATTAATCGTACACTCTAAAAAAAGCCCAATTTTAACCCAATTTTGGGTTAAATATGGACCCAGCCATTTGGTTACATTTTTAAATGAAAATTTTAACCGAATGTTTGAGTTTGTCCATATTTGACCCAATATTGGGTTAAAACAACCCAGCATTTTTAGAGTGTAGGCTTCATATGCATGAAAAAAGTTCACTCAAGCTTATTCACCTAAAAAAAGCTCAGATTAATGAAGCCTACTATCAATCAGATTCAAAAAGAAATACAAAACCTGTGCTAACTGAAAGAAAAGTTGAAAAATTAGCAAATTTGGACAATTTAAAGTTGTTATAGCCTGTGTAAGTAAATTCAGCAAGTTTTAGTCCAGCGCGAAAAAAATGACCAACATGTTGTACAAACAATACAACATAAGGGTGGGTTGAAATTGTGACTCTCTCCTGTCCTCCAGGTGCACCATGGGATAAAAGGCATGGTTTATGATGAGAACAACAACCACATTAGCAATGCAGTGATCTCGGTGGCTGGCGTGAACCACGATATCACCTGCGGTGAGTGTCGTTCTACATTAAAAGCAGATTTTGTAGAATGTACAAGCTTGAATACTTAATTTCATGTGTCTGACGCTGTCTCAGGGACCGATGGAGACTACTTCCGTCTGCTCTTGCCGGGCACCTACACAGTGACGGCTTCTGCATTAGGTTACCAACCTTTTACCAGCACGGTGACAGTGGGACCGGCTGAAGCTGTACAGGTGATAAACAATACACAGATACACTATTCTTTACTGATTTTCATACAAATAACAAGCTAACATATTTTATTTGTTGTTCTTCCCAGTTGCATTTCTATTTGAAAGTTCAACCAAAAGCGACAAACTTGAACGTGAAAGCTTATGCCAACAAGAAGGGCCCATCGACGGCGGCTAAGATTCCTCCCACCAACCTTGGCCCAAGATAAAGAGCAAGGTCTCTTCTCTTAACACAGACAAAACACACCTTTACTTTATAAACTGAAGAACAATAAAGGGAAACATGGACTCTCACTGTGACAAATCTCACCTTCCTATGTCAGGTTCTTTGTTGCTTGTATAGATGCATAAAAGTGTGACAAATCCATATTTTGCTCTCATGTTCTTGTGGAGCTTAAATATATACAGGTATGTATATTATATAATGGCTTTGATTAAAAGAACAGGAAGAGGTAGGTTATGTAAACAAAATATATTTCTCTTTTTATGAGAAATTAGTCATAGACGTTTAGATGGACTGTAACTGGAAATTGTGATCAGAAATCAGTTTAAGGTTAATTATCTCCTATGTGGATAAAAATAATAAAATAAACATTTTATCATTTGAAATAAACTAAGGTTGTTTATCTATCTATTCTCTGGGCAGTTATTGTTGTTTTTAAGAATAACATGTTTAAAATGCCATCTTGGTGCTTGTGTGAATATTTGTAAAAACGTATTGAAATTTTCATAAAGGTACTGTATTCATTTTATCACATATTCTTTAATGATCCTTACATGTAACTGTCAAGCGTTTGTTTGACTTTGCGTTTCCCCACACCTGAAAGAGATAGGTTCTCGGTATTTGAAGTTGTCAACTTGATTCCACTCAATGATTAGGCCTTGTGAATTATTACCATCCATTTATAAGAATTAATGTAGGTAAAAAAGGTAAGTATTATATACAAAAATTACCACCATAATTTATTCAACATTTTGAAGTACAAAATAAAAGCATTAATAGCTTTATTAATAGCATGAAATAACATATGCTTTTGCAATGCTGTCTGCATTGCTCAAACCATTTGCTATCTGGAAATCATCTTCTCAATGCACTGGAATCTTGACATCTGATTATTTATGTCTATTTAAAAAGCTACAAACTGCAAGTCTACACTCCTCTCGATTATGCAAGATTTTGTTGAGAAGCTTATACAGCATTTTCAAATCAGCAATCATTTGTGTTTATAATGAATATATCCAGTGCATATTTAAGAAAGGATCTTATTCTTATTAAATTCTCCACTCAAGTATAAGTGAAATGTTTAACTTCGGTATAACTTAGATGGAAGCACACACATGTTTATTGAACCTAAAGGAACACTAGGTGTCAGTGCTAGCGATATAGTCAGACCACTGGTATTTCTCTACTGAAAAGTGTTGAAAATAATAGAAAGCAATTCTAAAAACATCAGAAAACACTGTAACATTACATACATTAAGTGAGACTTTGATATGTCCAACTACAACTTCTCTTCCTTATAGGAATTACATAAAAAACAAGAAAACTGTGCTTGTCAATCTTTTTCTAAGGCTCTATAAAAACCAAGCTTAAAAAAGTACATAAACTATAATTTAGTATTTAATTCCAGAAAATGTATTAACTATTTCAGGATGGTATTGAATAGTACAAAAACATTAAACTAAATATGTATTATAACTGATCATTCCATGTTTTTAATTCCAGAGTGAATGTTTCAATAAAATGATCCATCAACAATGCAGTAAACATTTAAAGATTGTACGCATTCCTGTGTTCTTCCTGGTTATCGCACACAAATAGTATAACAATGCCCTCTGAAAAACAGGAAAAAGGAAAATGTACTTCAGGAATGTTGAGTTGACCAGGAAAGGATCAGAAGGCTCTGCAGCTGGAAAATATGAGCAATACTTAATTTCTCATAACCAAGAATAATAATGTTTGGAGAGCTGCACCGTCAGACTGGAATTGAAGGAAATTTTGTGTAAAACATGTCCCAAGAAAAATTATGATTCATACCCACTATTAGGGGTCTGCTTCCAGTAAGAAGATCAACAATCTTGCATTTACAATCCATGAATAAACTGTCCGAACAGTAGCAAAATGAAATGACGGGATTTCATTGTATGAGAATGCTTCAATGACAAAGATCATGAATAGATTAACAAGAATGAATAGCAACAAAGAGCATCATGCTCACATGGTCATTCTCAAAGAAAATGTCACTATGAATAGGACAACAGATGCTTTTCATGCTTCCAGGATATGACAGATCTGGCATTTTCTCATTTTCTCGTGGGCATGTTGTGACAGAGCAGCTTACAACACAGAGCTGAATGTGACAATAAAACCCACTCAGCAACTGTTATCTATACACGTGCTCTAGTATGCCCACTTGGTTTTGCTTTCTAACTGAATTAAAATGGAACCCGAGTCAAGTGATCCGAGTCCGGGTATTGGAGATGACACAGAATGATGCGTGTGTAAAGTAGAGGTCAAGATTTGACGTAACAATTCTGCACTACCTTATAAACAAGGGCCTCATAGGCTGCTTCCTTTCATTGTTTCTGAAAATAAGGAAGTCGTGGTTAATGCAGACACAGCGAAAATAATCTTACGATTGAAACTGTGTGTCTTAAAACATTACGTTCCCTTTGTGGCAATAATATTGACACGGATGAGTCTACATTAAGCAATATAGCTCTGTCATTTCCACTCATAACACAAATGCAGGGTTTTCTTATTCTGAGTCATGAAAACCAAAATCAGACTGTTGTAACCCTCCATGTCTGAACATTATACAATATTAGAATGATTCTTAAACTTTGTTTACGTTTATGTATCACGCAAGGGTTGATTTTATTTTCATAAAACATTTTACCTTTTGTTACAACAGTTAATTAAAAAAAAAACATTTGCTTTAAATTGCTTTTATTTAGAATTTTATTGTTGTACCCATACCCCCAGATATATAATATTAAAATCAGTCATGAAAATATGAATTATTATGTGTTTAAAATTGAGATAGCCTAAACAAAGAATTAAATATGCATAAATACATTTCAAAAAAATATTTTTTAATATTGTATGCATTGCATAGCCTATCTTTTCTATATTTTTTTCCAACACGACGAGTATTTTTAAAGTTTTTTTTAAAGTAAATATAGGCCTACTTTAATTTTTAAAGTGTTAGTTGTAAATTATGCAAAAAGTGTGCGTATTTTGGACATAAATAGCTAGTAATTAAATGAAACTTCGTAAGATAGTTTCTTTTTATTTAATATTGGCCTAATTTATAACTATTATTTCAAATGTTTGACCAACTGGGAGTGTAGCAAATAAATAAATAAATAATTATTTTAGACAAATATCCTTTCACTCTAACTAGATATATTTAAAATAATGTAGGCCACTTTTTACTGGTAAGTGGTAACATAAGACATTTGGCTTTATCAGGACACACACACACACACACACACACACACACACACACACACACACATATAGCTAGCATTACATTATTACATTATATTCAACATTATATACTGACACTAAATCTCTTTAAACTTTTTTGTAAATCTTTTTGGGTGAATTATTGTGACTATCCATGATACTAAATATTGTTACATTTTTTGTATTGCGATATATTGTTACACACGAAATTGTTACACCTCTACAAATGACAAATGTTCATGGCTTTCAGAAAAGTGACAAATATGGCGGAATTCTCCTATCATGATTCGCTTGTGTCAACTTTAGTTTAAAATAGCTAATCTAGTAACAATTAAAAAATGTTTTAAAAAAGTTTATTACAAAAGATTACAGGTTCAAAACTGTCCATAGCTGTAGAATCACCCTCTTTAGAAATATTTTAACATTTTTTGTTTGACGTTAGAGTCACAGCAAAAACTAGAGAAATAAAATAACTCTACCCATTTGTTTCAGTTTAGAGTTACTAATCTAATTGTCTAAATTATTTTTCTTATATTAAAAAAGCAACCGACACGTAAAAATACCTTGTGCTACAGATTTAGTAGGAATTTTCTTCAGGCATGTTGAAGGCAGCCCTGCGCTCGTTTGTGTCAGCAGCAGAGGGTGGTGTGTTGATGTTGATGTCAGCATGGAGGGAGTTGAGGTTGAGGATCAGCCTGCTGGGTCTTCTACTGGGATGACAGCTGATGCCGCCGTGGCGTAGATGACCATTGGGATCGGATCAACTGCAGCGTGTAAGCCGAATAATGACAGGCGGGAGAAACGCCTGTTGGCCTCATCCGATGATTGTTTTATAAGCAATGTTTAATGATACAACTTTAACGGCAGAAGCAAGGGACACGCACACGAGCACCTAACGTTACAAGATTTTGGTTGAGTCTTTTCGGTAAAGCTGTCTAACCGCACTGAGGGTACTTGATATCACACAGGTGAGTGAAATCTTGAATAAAAATCTTGAGTAAAGTTTGTTACATTTGTTGCTAGTATTTTAATGCTAGCGTCGGTTACATCCAGATCATTAGAACTGACGAGCGTTTCTGTTTGAATCGGTTACACTTGTATTTTATGCATATTTGCATAACTTTATTTGGGGAATTTGGTGACATATATTTGTATATTTTACTTCTGTTTGTGTGTTAGAAAACACGATTAGCCGTTAGTGGTCCGGATTTGGGCTATTTTTAGTGATTTGAATCTTTTGAAACGATTCGTTCTGGCTCTTTCAGGTTAACGTTACTCTTTTATGCCTGTAGGTGTCAACGAGATTTGTGTCTTTATAAGCGGTTCACTGATTGAATCTTCACTCAACTGCTTTTTTTAAGAGACGTTCATGAACAAAACTAACAAGTCTGAGTGATTTGTCCCAGAAACATGTTTTGTTATGGTGGTTGAAAGTCTCTTCACATCCTGATAGCAATCACTAAGTTCAGTGGTCTAAATGTATCATCTGTGGAAGGCGTAGGCCCAAATGCAATGATACAATCTCTTACTGCCTGTCAACGTATATTTTTATTTTATATACACAATTTATGGTTGCTCCTGAACCAAAACAAATAGCTTGCTGCATTCACAAGTCCCTTTAATTTAGAAGAGATGGATATAGATGGATACAGATTCATCTTCAGAACACAGTTTAAGATATTTTAGATTTAGTCCGAGAGGTTTCTGTCCCTCCATTGAAAATGTATGTACGGTATTCTGTTCTGGTCCAGAAAAGAAATAAAGACATCATCAAAGTAGTCCATGTGACATTGGTGGGTTAGAATGTTTTGAAGCATCGAAAATACTTTTGGTCCAAAAATAACAAAAACTATCACTTTATTCAGCACTTTATTCTCGTCTGGTTCTGTTGTCAATCCGCGTTCAGTGACTCTGTGACGTAAGACGCTCTGTGTTTTTTATCGTTGTTATTTATTTTTCTTAATAAAACCGATACACTTTGATCACTTGATTTCAAAAATGACACATTTCAGATCGCTTCTTATTTAACTACAGATGTTTTATTTATTTGTATTAATTACATCCATGCAACGAGATGTTTCAAAAGTGGTGGGGACAATATCGACCCTGGAAAAAAGTGGTGGCGACATCCCACCCGTCCCACCTGCAAATTACGCCTATAT